TTTAAAAACAACTTAAATGGAGTGTTAAAGTTTGGGGGAAAAAAGCTGCACTCAATATCCATACTCACCAGTTAAACAAAACTCTTAATTTTAAAAAAAATGTTTTTTAAAAAAATTTCATTTATTTACTTATTTGGTATAGGGTCTCACTATGCAGCTTGGACTCAGTGATCCTGTTTTCAGCCTCCCTAGCGCTGGGATTACAGGTGTGCACCACCATGCCTGGTTTCAGTGGCTAGCTCAGTGTGCCTGGGTTCTAGGGCTTGCACGGAATGTGGCACTGAGGATCAAACCTGGGTCCTTGCACTTGCCAGACAGGCACTTAAGACTACAGAGCTATCTCCCCAAGCTCAAAATCTTCATTTTTATATAAAGTCCCCATCCAATATGAATATACATTTTTGCATGATTTGTTCAGATTCTAAAATTTCCCTAACATAAGTCAAAACAAACGAAAGTTTCCACAAATGTATACAGAGCGCCGTAATTTTTTATGTCTACATAAAAATGAGATTCCACAATATATTAAAAACTATTTCGCACCTCTCACCTGCCAGAAGATTGGTTATCCTGTTACACATAAAATTTTGTTATTATATAATTTGCTACTATGTATTATATGATTCCTATCTGTACGTTGTTGCTTGTTTTTCTTCACTGGGTTTATCATGAAGTCAAGGACCTAAGGTGAAATTGATGAATTAAATACATAAACTCTGATGTTTACAGTTACATTCACAAATGGATCTGCAATCACTATCTGAACCTTGAAAACAAGGCAAGGAAATAGCTGAAATATCTGCAAAGCTAGTTTCCTTAGTATTAGTAGCATCAAACTTAAGGTGAGAAATTATTATGATACTTCATTGTATTAGTTTTTGAGAGGCTAGAGAAAAACAACTAATTATATATTACCAAAATAAATAACAGGATTTCACATCGTAATCTTGATAAGAAAAGCTCTATTATTTTTGCTTTTCAGAAGCAGCAATATAGAGAACTAGTGTTTCTCTCTAGGGCTGGAGAGATAACTAAGTGAACTAAGTGCCTGCTTAGGCAAGCACAGGGATTGGGGTTGGATCCCTGGCACCACATGCCATGCTGGTCTCACCCCCGGGTGCGCTGAGCCATCAACTGAGTCCAGGTGTGGTGGTACACGTGTATAATCCCAGCACTGGGGAGGCCAAAAACAGGAGGATCACTGCGAGTCCGAGCTGCATAGAGAGGCCCTGTACCAGATACTTAAAAAAAAATTTTTTTTTTTTTTTAAATTTTGTCTATAAATGTATCTGTAGGGGGCCTGCCCCTTAGCTCAGTTCGTTAAGTGGCTGCTTCAAGAAAGCAGTCAGGCTCAGGTTGCTGTGGTTATGATCCCCACAACTCAAGCCAGCCAAACCTGCCCTGAAGGCATTCGGAGCCTGCCAGAAAGGGGGGGGGGGAATGTATTTGCGACTTAATAAGACCTAAGTACCTATTAGCATTTAATAGTCTTAGCTATCAGTAACACTTGACAAAAAATCTGAAGCTTGTTTCATAATGGAGGCACTATAAGTATGGTTTATGGTATCTCTGTTAATTTGCTTTCTTCTGCTTTTATCTTGTTTTCGAACTGAGCTTGCCGTCAGGTCAACATGAAAGTGAGAAAACTCCATTCTTATTTAAGCCAGTTACACACATGACATCTCTGAAGCAGTCATATAGAAGCCTCTGTATTCTGATGACTTTGCTCTTCACCTAAACACATCTGATAAAACCTGAAATGCAATGGTGAGCATTAATAGGCCTGATATTTCAGCAGATCAGGTGGTAATTTCAGAGCTCTTCTGAATTTGTATTTCAGGGATCTACAACTATGTTCAAATGTTCAGAAGGTGAATTCTTAGATTATCAAAAATAGGCGTTATTCTTGTTGATATGGTTAAGTATAAGCAACTATGCCTCAAAAATACTATTTTGATACATGTTCTCCATTACACTGATTGATATCAAGTAAACTAATCTAGTAACTCAGAGGAGCATCTTGCAGTTCAAACTAGGGAACATTGGAATATATTACTGTGCTGTTGGAGTCATGGTAGATAATTAGAAAGTCTTACTTTTTAAATTTTGAATGTGAAATATTTCTATACTCAGACCTAAGGTCAAGAGCTTTGGAGCATAACATTTATTTCCTTTTACTCTGAAGTAGATTCAGAAATGCTTCATGAGAAAACCCTTTTCTCATGCCTGTGGGCATTCCCTTGATCATACCTGTAATGGAGATGGGATATCCACTTATTGAAGAGAGGGAATAATCACAGATATTATTATAAGAAGACTACCATCAATCCTGTCTTCCATATGAATTTTAGAAACAAAAAACAAAGTACATCTGGACCTGTCCTTACTTGGAAATAACAACAGTAAATACAGTAGAGTAAGAGTAGTTTGGGGCCGGGAGATGGCTCAATAGAATAAGTGCTTGCCTGGCAAGTTCAGGGGCCTGAGTTCAATCCCCAGTTCCGCCAAAAAAAAAAAAAGTAGTTTATTTTCACTGCCAGTAGCCAGGCAAAATACTAAACAATCTTTTTGTTTGTTTGTTTTTATTTACAGATTTGGTACAGAGTCTCGCTACACAGCTCAGACTCACAGTAATCTTCCTGTTTTTAGCCTCCCCAGAGCTGGTATTATAGGCATGCACCACCATACCTGGTTTCAGTGGCCGGTTTGGTGTGCCCAGGGCAGGGCCAGCGTGGCATACAGTACCAGGGATCGAACCTGGGTCCCTACGTTTGCCAGGCAGGTGCTTAGACTGCTGAGCTATCTCCATGGCCCTTAGCTATCTTTTATTTTTTATGTTTCACTATGTGTTGTAAGAGGTAACTATTATTCCTGTTTTGGATATGGAAATGAAGCTAAGTCAAAGGGCATGTACAGTTTAAGGTTTTACTAAAGAATATAACTCTGCTAAAGTCTCACTTAAAATATAAATACAGATGCGCTCACTTAGGACACATTGCTCAGAGCACTGGGGACACACTTGGCCTTCACTACTCTGGCTCCTTGAAAATTTTTCCTTGTGATGTTATCCATTTGGCTTAAAATAAGGAGCACATTTTAAAAAGTATCCACATAAAGTTCACTATCATATTTGTTGTTGGGATGATGATGAGAACATACACTCTCTCTTTTTCTGAGACAAGGTCTCACTGGGTAGCCTAAGCTGGTCTCAAATTTAGGGTGACCCTCCTGCCTTAGCCTCCCAAGTGCTGGGATTACAGGCGTGAACCTTCATGCTTTACACTGTCTCTTTCAGGACCCAGTCTGAGGCCCGAGAGGAGAACCCCAAGGCCAGAGGCATTGGTTCTCATTAGCCACCAATGCACTTTTAAATTAATGAATCATGGGAAATGTCCACAGGTACTTACTTTAGACACTTTGTTCTTTATTGTATCTACTGCAAAGCTCAGAGAACTCTCTGATATCCTCGTTGGAATAATATGCAAGTCTCCAATTTTAGCTCTGACATGAACTCTTTAAACCTCTATTAACTTCCTTATACCCTATTTTATTTCAACTTTGGAATAAACTATTAGAGTCAAAAAAATCCCAATTTAGTTTTTATGTTTAATACTGATGCCTACTTTTTACAGCTATAAGAATATAGAAGCAACAATTGATATTTTTCAGAAACTACTGCACTTTGTATCAAAGCAACGTAAAAAAAAAAAAAAAAAAAATCAGGTTACATCAAGCTCCTCCTCCAAGCTCCTCTAGGTTCTTCCAGGAACCTAGAACCTAAGTTATAATCATTAACTAGTTCAGTATCTTACACTATGAAAAAGCAATTCTTAGGTTTTTACTGATATACTAAAACTGAATCTAGAAATACTGTACCACTGAGCTATATCTTAGCCCTTTATATTTACTTATTTATTCTTTAAATATTGAGGCAAGGTCCCCTCCTAAGTTGCTCAGGTGGACATCTAACTTTTGATCCTCCTGCCTTCTGAACAGCAGAAATGACAGGCATGTATCACCATATTCAGCTAAGAAGTTTATTTTAAATTATGTTACTTAATTATAATCCTCTGATACCTGTGAACTAAGCAACTGCACTGAAGACAGCAATGTGTGCTTTTCATCTTTATTAACAACATTTTAAAAGACTGGATAAAAATAGACATCTCTGTTTCAAGTAACAGGACATGGATTTTGACATCTAGTGTCCAATGTTAAGAATGAGTAATGAAAGATTTTTCTCTTACACAGCATTTTCTCTTAAACAGTTCTGTTCAAGGTGACTGATGATTTAATGAAAATAAAGTCAGCATTTGCCGCCAGATTTTTTTTTGGGGGGGGCGGGGGGGGAGAGGGTACTTTACCAAATCCTGAGCCTGTAATTGTGCTACCTTACTATGTTTCTGATTTCATTTTAACAGCATTAAGCCATTTGTTCAAGAATTAGGTATTTTCAGAATCTGCAATGACAGTGATTTTTACTAAACCGGGACCCATTAAGCTGCCCAAGGGCCTAGCTGCACACTGTAGCTCTAACCTGTGAGTCCATTTGGGAATCTTTCTCTTTTTTTGGAGACAAGAATCTAGTCACTTTCTGATCTAAAACTTAGATAAATGCATTTTTCACTGGATTTTTGACCCTTTCAAATGATTAAAGTTTAGAGCAACTTATAAGAATTTGCTTTTCTAGTATAGTAATGTAATTTATATTAAGGACTAGAACTGAAGTGAATTGTTAAATAATTACATTTATACAGATTATTTTCTGCTCTAAGTACCTTATTTGATACATCATAATAAAGAAATTAAGACATTTACACCAAATATATTATGTATGAAGTGCTTCTGTTGCACTTTTTATAACTGAAGCACTTAGTTTTAACTCATTTGGATGAGTTATATTTTGATATTTAAAAGGAATTAAGTGTTTACACTCAATCACATGAAACAAAATGGAGGTAATCATATTTTTTAAAAAGAAGTGATGTATGTGTCCTCACCTGAGGCTGCTGTTGCGTTTGTAGGAGTTGAAGCAGCTGCTTGAATCCGAGCATGAGGAGGAATAAGGATGGTAGCCAGAGGTGGATTACTTGACAGTTCTAGAAAACATAAAACATGAAGATTAGAGCTTACTTTTAACTGCCTCTGAAACCACTTTATTGGTAACCATAAATAAAAGAACAAAAGATCAGGGAAAAAAAATGAAATGATAAACCTACATATAACAAACTAGGTGATGAGCTAGTAATTAATAAAGTGGAAGCTCAAAGAAATTATGTAGTATCTGCTGATATTCAGGTAAATCTGAGAACTAAATGTATTGAGGGAAAAGCAGTAGCCAAAAGGTTGAGAGTGATAGCTTTTTATCTTCTATTGATATAAATAAATCTGTCTATTTTAGCAATACTTAACCTATTGGAATTGAGGGTGAAGGTACTGCAGATGAGAATGTGAGTGTGGCTGGTATATAACTGTATGTGTAGGTGTATGGGTTAATCTACCCAACTGTTGGAGACCTATTCAGATACCACCAAAAGCAGGATTTAAGAAACATCTGTTAAGAGACTGTGTGTGGTGGCACACACCTATAATCTCATGCTGAAGAGACTGAAAACAGGAGGATCACTATGAGTCTGAACTGTGTAGTGAGGCCCTATACAAATATATTCAAAAAAAAAAGAAAGAAAATGAAAAAGAAAAACAAAACATCTGTTAAGGTTTCAGTGCTTTTTATTAAAAACAAGATATTCTATATCCAATTCTGTGTTCTATATGGGCAGGTTAGGAAATTATTTTAAGATGATACTGTACCTAATGATGTAGGTATGTAATAAGTAGTGGTGAACTTGAATATGTAAGAATTTAGTGTTAGCTTTAAGCAATATAACTCTTCTCCCACTGCCTAAGATAAACCTCATTTATGGGAACAATTCCAGCATGAACCTGTGAGTAATGACATTCACTCTAGTGTCACAGTTTAAGGAAATAATCACAGGATCATACTAGCTATAGGAAGATATCCTCCCAAGCTGCAATGTTTTTTTTTTTTTTTTTTGCTAACTTAGAGATCTGGCATTACCTTATTAATGAAGGTAAAATTCACACAGCACAAATATAGTCATTTTAAAGTGGCATTTAGCATACCCACAAGGTTGTACAACTGTCACCTCTATTTAGTTCCAAAATATTTTCATTACCCCAAAGGAAATCCCACCCATTAAGCAGTTACTCTCCATTAACTCTACCCTTAAGCCCCTTAATAAGAAAAATAAGCATTTCAATGTGGCAGTTTAAAAATAGTTTTAGGCAGCTGATTCAGGAGCAGAACATCTTGCCAGAGAGACACAAAGGGTTCAACTCTAACGGCTGCAGCAGAAAGAAGTGGAGCACAGCAGCCAGATCCAAGCAACACCCACCTTGGAGGAATCTGAACTTCGTAGATCCGGACCTGGTGTTAAGGTAATAACTCTATCCAAGCTCTTCACCAAAGGTCAGAAGACAGTGGCATACAAAATGGCAAAGAGAAGGAACAAAATGCAGTCTCAGGCCCCAGGCCCACCCAGTACAAATGCACAAGACACTAGCACTGAGGAAACTGGAAATCACATGCCAGATATCTCAGAAATAATAGCGTTGACAGTAAACAAACAACTGCAGAAAGGTATAGAAGAAATCAAATCAGAAATAATTTTGAAACTAAAAAATTTAGTG